TAGAATATAAATAAGAAGTATAACTGAATGTGCTCAAAGCCGATCGGCAATTGGGTTCAGGAATGATGTCATCAGAGTAGAGCGTCCTGGAAACAATCCGTTTCAAGGGCTGAGTGGGACATTGCCTAGCCGATTACATCTTATCTGCAACGGATGTTTGCAGGACAAAAAGAGGGTTGGTTAGTTCATAGGAATGCAGAGCTTTGGGATTGAGTTGATGCAAGAAAGGTGTCAAGGCCATGGCAGATAGGACGCATTCATTTGGTCGTTTAAGGTGAAGATGCGACAACATGTGAGCTATCGGCCGTTGAAAGGGGCAAATTGCTGCTAACCCGTGCTGGAAGGCCGAGTCGAAACACAGGATCTCATGGGACAGCAAGAGTAGCATACGGCGATGCTGAATAGACCTCAGGTTGCGGCCAGACTAAACTGACTCCATTCCCTCTTGCCTGTCGGGCTTGAAAACAGCCCATACTTGACGTGGCGTCAGCTGCTATTCCTACCCTTTCAAGGGGGATTGCAGCCTGAACCTCTGCCAGCACATGAGGCGGCTCAGCTGGTCATCCCAACTGGGAGGAAGGACGTCCGTTTCAGTCGCAAGCAGATCATTCTGATTTATTTGGCCTGTCGCCTTGAGCTGGGCAAATTCATCTTTTATAGCTTTTAAAAGGGTGGGAACTAGAGTCATTGTCGCCCGGTATAGAGAATGGTTTCATAACGCATTTTGACAAAGCCCTAATTGGGTAAGTCCCACATGCACATTAAGATGAGCCAGAATACTTGCAATCTATTTTTCCCCACCATAAGTGATTACTCCAAACCCTTCAAGTAAATACTCGTTCTATGCCGAAGAATACATTTAATTCCAGTTTATTTGCTTTGCCTGTTCCTCGATTAAAGTGCTTCCGGACTCTTGCTTTTGCTTAAATGCTTTTCTCCTTACAAAATGACAAGTTGTTGGACAATTAACATAGTTTAGCCTAAATATTTTATAAAGACCTACTGCAGGCTTGAAGTTAACACGTATTACACCTCTAGAGTATTTCGTATTTAGCTTGTATAATATCGATTATATCGTCTTAACTGGTTGGAGCAAGTGAGCGCGTGGAGCAAATTGTAAAAATATTCGTCTGCGACTTTAAAAATAGTGGATTAAAGTGTAGGTCTCGGAAGTATACTGCCGCTCTTATTATTTCTCTATTGGTTTCAAGCTTATTAGGGTTTTAATGTTTATAACCAACATTTTGCTTGTTGATTAAATAGGTTGTGAAATTAAAGAGTAGTATATTTAAACTGTTAAGCAAAAATCTGCAAAAATTGTAGAATAATGTCTATTATCCGAAATTGGATAGAAATGGGCCGAAATACCCTAAAATGTAGAGCTATATAGAGACTCTTT